GCAATCGTTCTCACGTCTTATTATCAAAAGTGATGAGGTATCAAATTGTATTCTTAGTATCAACATATGTCGGTGTCATTTTCAGTTTCCAACTGTTCTCTAAGACCGTATATTCATGCGAAATGAACTGATCAGAATTCCCTGATGCGTTTCACTCATATGATTGTTCCACGATGATCTGTAATTCTCTCATTTGCTCAGATCTCCATTTTATGGTATCTTGATGAGTTATCCTCCGTTTCAGTCTGTTGACACTTTATGTTTATCACAAATCTTTTTGAATAGTAGGTGAGGCATGTTTGCAGTTACTTCAATGTCTGACCTAAGTGCTTCATCATCACCATCTTCAAAATCGTTATCAGCATCAGCTTACTCACATTCATTGTGGAGGTCATGTTCATATTTCCAAAACTTATGTTAACACTTCCAATAGTGAATTGCTTTACATTTATTCTTCATTTATTCTACCGATCAATATCCCGTATGACGTAACTTATTTCGCAGATTATTCTTCTATTCTACTTGATGTTCGACACTAGTTTTTAGCATTTCAAAAAATTTCTTTCTAATTTCCATCAGGGATGCATACGAAATTCAATGCCAGTCTGATGCAAATTTATTTGAAAGATGTATTTTATTGAAACTTGGGATTACCATGTTCAGTAGGATTCTTTGGCAATGGGTTGATTATGTGAGTTCAATAATAAATTACTGAGCATCAGCCAACTCTATGTTTATCTAGTACCCAGTTGTGAATGGATTCCATCATTGTAGTCAGAAAAATCGAAGTGAATAAGTTCTTGTGAGGAAAATTGCGATTTGACCGAATCAGAATAACATAGAATGGATTTCTGTTTGAGGACCATTAAGCAATTGACTGTTCGAATATCTGAATTTAAACGTGCTCATCTGTGAGAAAGACTGGAGTAGGTTGTGAACAACACAACAGATTCCGATATGCAAATCATCCACTTCAAGCATATCTGATTTATATGCAAGATAAACAGACCACATCAATACGTATAACTGTAAATCACATTTGTACATGATCAAGCCGTAAAAGTGTCATGATTGTGGACTACTGCAATTAGGAAGGTGTAAATAACTTAGGAATCGTAAATCTCATGATAATTGTAAGTCAAAATGAAGCTTCCGACACGGAGGACACGAACGTCTACAGTCTAGTTGTTGAGACATTATGCAATAAGAATGTAAATAATATTCGTCCATCAATATTTCACAGAATTTGATTATAATTTGATCTTCACTAGGATATAACGAAAAGGGAAACTGACGAGTTTCGAAGGCTTCATTTAGTTTGGTTGAGTAATCGACAGATGAATAAATGCATGACGGTACTCGCCTATATTTTACGTTAATAAGGTTAACCAGAAAGTAATTTTTGAGTTCAGTAAACCGAAGTTGTGTGATGGTGACCATAAAACGAGTGAAAAAGACGAATAAGAGCCTTCACAGACGGGGTTTGTTGTAAACGTGACACAGTATTTTCGGAAGGCATGTTTATAGCAGAAGAAACAATACACATACATAGTGCAATTGTCAAAAAGTAAACTGACAGATGAAAGCAATAAAAGGAACAAATTGTACAATTCATAATACAGAACGGACTTACTGAATTGCACCCTCTTCCATAGTGGGTGCATAAGCAAAGTTAACCATAATCGAAATCGGTTGTATGTTGGTTTCTATACTTTCATAAATTATCTAGCGTGCACTAGTTGACATTATCTCGAAAGCACCTTGTACTGCTTATATGTATTATGATGGAGGTGGAATGCAGCCTTAAGCAAGCCGTATACTCAATTATCTTCACAGATTTAAATTGAAGACTTGAAATCAAGATAATTCTATACGACTTGTATTACTAGACTCACTTGGAATAAGATGATAGATGATTTTAGTGTTTACTCATAACTGAATCAAGACCTTCTAATAATTGATGAACAAACTATCAGTACATTTTGGCTTCGGAAAAGTATTAGTCATATGTAAAATGAAAATTTCATTCATTTTATCGTTTTGTATGTGTCAATGCTTAACAGTCATATGAAAGTGTTAGTAGAGAGCGGCATTCCTCATTATAATGACAACTCATATCATGCTCATTATACAAATGAAAATGTCATATCATAGATGAAATCTGGTGATAAACAACGTGGAATTAAAATGAATGACAGTAGAACAACAAGAAAAACAACGGTCAAGGTTAACAGACAGATCACACTATCACATCATAGAAACTATTCTTATCATTATTTTTACTTTTAGAAAAATAGTTTTCTTACGTGGCAACGTATATTAGGTTGAAAGATGCCAAATAGTATTTGTGGTAATTATACGTGATATTCAAACACATATTGGTGACTGAATCGTCAAGTGACTGTACTCAGTGTGGATAGTTTTCAGAGGATGAAGGAGGCAGGCGTTCTTTTCTGTTTTAACATTAACTGTTCGTCGAAGACAGTGTGTTCCTTTTGATCAGAGTTATCTTCTCAATCACATCAAATATACTTATGAGCTGTCAAAGACTTTGTGTTGTCTAATGATAAAGAGATGTTAAAGGTGATTGTCCATTTAATCGAAATGGAGAAGACGGAATACAAAGAAGCAACTGAACGAACAATCGTTCGTAGATATTAGGAAACTGAAATCGCACTCCACTGTCTCTCTGTTTCGCACTGTCAATTAACATAGCTTTAGTGTCATTCTCGGAAAACGTTTTATGCATTGTATATAGCTTATCATCTGTTTTGCCTTAAGTGCATATTCTGGAAAATGAATTATTGCATCTCACCAAGCGTAAGTTGATCATTGAGACTGTCCTGATTAGATTCCAGCTACAGAAAACAACTCGGAATACGGCAGAATAGAATGTTTTTTAAGGATATGAATAGTCCGTTCTCTGAAATCCACGATGCCATGTTTCCTTTTAATTCAATATTCTGTCGTCAACTATTCCTACTATGTATGAGTTTTCATTCAACTTGATATCCTGATTTTAGATAACAGTCATTATCTGAGATGGTTCTGTAGCTTGTTTCCCGTAGAGTTTGTTTAATTATATTACGTTCATCATCACCAATTGTGTCATCAGTGCATATTCGTCTGGCTTTTGAGGATGGAGAATAGATGGAATTACTTTCCCTACCTGGAGCAACCGAATCCGCAAAGTCAATTCTAGTCCGTTTCTTACTTTTCCATTGAGACCCTCTTCGATGAGTTTCATTATCTTTTGATAATTTTGTAAAACTACTCTGTTTCACCACAGACTACTATAGCATCATCTATAAATACATTTCTACAGCTTCCACCGGAAGATATACGAGGAAAAATAGTGAACGAAATCGATGGTTATTATTAGGAAAACACATTTCAGGTTTGGGCTTGACATTAGAAGCTATAGACATTAGAGGCTATATGCAAGACCTGGCAAAATGTAAGATCTGATGTCGCATAACCTTAAAAGCACGTAGCCTCTTTATGTTGTGAAACATACTTCATACTTACAACACATTCACTAAAAACAATATGCGAAATAGACATGACGGTATAAGGAGACACTCCACTGAATACTTCATGATCTGAATCATACTCTTATCAAGAAGATTAACTGATCTACACTATCACATGCACAGATAACTTTTCCTTTCGTAATTAGATATTGGTCAACGGCATTGAATTGACAATGCACCACTGAAAACAATTTTGATATTGATGAATTCACGAAATTACCCAAACAGTCTTATTATTCGACAACAAACAGTGATTGTCAAGGTAACAACATTTTGATTAGTGTTCATATCTATCTAAAGTAAACCAATACACATCTACTGTGTCAGGAGGAAAACTATTTTTAAATATCACGCAAAAACAAACATTCCTGACTTATTTCATCAAAATTATTATTCAGTTATGAATGTGTAGTGTAAGTCAAGTATACACTTGACATTATCTTATCACTGTGATTTTCTTTTATATTTGAGCACAGACGATATGAAATACAAGCTCAGCTGATGTGAGGGAATAGATTATTGAAACACACAGATGAAAATCAGTCTTCTATTTGAGTATTGACAAACATTTTAGTTTTCAGATACAATGATCAATGTTATAGTTTCGAATGTGTCTGGTATAAGAAATCGTTCTACATTTCCAACAGTTCACTTTCGGCGGAATGCATTATATTCCTCTGATTACAATGATTTTGGAACTCAATCTATGAGACTGAGCACAATTGATTCTATTTCAATGTACTCAATAGGAAAATCATTATCCATTTTGATCTAGACATCTATTGATAGTCAGTGTTATAATGTGATATAGAAATAGAATGGATGTGACATTGTTCAGAAGTTACAATTTTCGAAAAAAACGACGGTGAAATCGTTTAACAAAATGTGCTCATTAGAACAAAATCCATGTGTAAAAGTGTATTTGTTACCATCCAATTAAAAACAATTTGTGCTACTTTGATTTTACCCAATCAATTCAAAACAACTCATCGTTGACGAATAATCAATACATGATTACAGACAACAAACTGTTTGTTCGTAAACTTATGAGCACACATTTTGAACTGTAATTTAGCCAATCACCTATTTCAGATTATCGTCTTTCCCCTTGAAGAGAAGTTTTATCCACAGGTGTCGGGAATTTCAATCAACAGTGAATAAATTTCAGTTCATGATCTCAACAGCCAGAAGAATATTGGTTTACGATAATGTCATATACCTCCATGATTGGTTTATAATGAACATCTGATTTTTTAAATTCAATCTTCCTAATGGTTACTTTGAATCATCGAATCAGAAGAGAACAACTTTACACTTAAAAAGTCTATATAAATCCGACAAATTCTATAAAAATTTGATTTATAACTTGACACGATAAGATGAGGTAAGTGTTGAATGAACATACGAACTGAAATTGAAATTCGACTCCATGAGATACCGTTGATTTGTTCATCCTGATTATTTTAGATATAACTTTTCGCCAAGTCTATGGATACTAATTTATTTAATCTTCGTTTGGCACTACAAACGTTCCAACTGCAATGACATTTGCAAAAGGTCTGATTTGTATAACTATGAGAATGTCATTATTGAAAATGACACATATAGATATGTAAGTAATCAGTTACATTCTAATACACATATTCCAGTCTCTTCATTATAATTATTCAATGAGGATTCAACATAATCAATCTCAATCAGTTTCGAGTGACCGTTTTTATAATAAGATAGATCGCAGATACGTGAGTTGAATACACTTTATAATAAAGATATTTTTCCATATGTTTGCAACATTTTAGTGGGCTTATCCTCAGTTCTCGTTTAGTTATTACGGTAAACACGTAGAATATTTTGGTTTTTACCCTGGTAAGTCATAAATTTTCCTTGAAATCAAATTGTCATTGAGTTTTCTTGGTGAAATTTCAGTTAATGAATCAAAGTTGATTCTATTTTCTTCAGTGAATCAGTTTTGTGCTCCTTGTAACATGCAAAACTTCTTTCAATATTTTTTTTCATTGTGATGGTTTGACTCTTTATAGCAAACCAAATACAGTTCAGTTTTATTATTTAAAATTGTTTATTCATTCATTACAAATTTATCAATAATGTGGCATGTTTTCATCCAATAGATACAGATTATGTACATGTATATGCACCGCTCAAAATTGGAAGTATTATTAATTACATAAAAAACAATAAGAAGTCTGAATCTAGAGTTTTGGAAGAGAGTGAGTTCTTATATTATTCAGTTATTCTTTGTTTTGATCACTTTTCTCACACTTATTTTGTATAAAAGATTCAGTATTTATCTTGATGATTACAGGAGTGGTAACCAATACAAAGTGATTGTTGTGTTTGTGTTGTTTTTGCAACAGAACGTGTGTGTATCGCAGCAGGTGTTGAATGCTGTAAAGTGAAATTCGGTAAATTAAACAGAGATCTACCTGAAAATATACACTTTCATCGAATAGAAATGATAAACCATGTGATATAATTGCGAAAGTGTACAAATTACCAACCCTCCAGCCTATGAAAACTACAAAACAGAAGATATCTCATCTACACGATACTTCATCGTAGACTGAGTAAATAAAAGTGATCACTTGTTCAATAGTAAGCTATGTTGTGAGAGAATTGGTTTGGATTATTGAAGCCTATGAATTATCAAGTTATATTTGAAGGCCTCTAGACCTTTTATAGCACTTGCTTGATTCTTGAATGTTTAATGTCTCGGAGTTGCTGTGTGTTATTATTCGATTATTCAAGACTATTTTTGTAATCGTATTTGTATGATCATTCATTTCGAATCCATGCACTTCGTGAAACAGCTGACCAATGAACGTCCGTGAAAAGTCTACTAGTACAAGATGATTTACTCATATCAGAACACTTGAAACATCAACGTGACATTCATTTATTTCGGTCAAACGTAAAAATTGATGAATAACGGGATCCAAAAAACACTTTGTTGTTGTATTGTTGAATACCTAATAAACGTCTATTATTCAGTCAGAAGCTTCTAGAAGAAATTTTAAAGAAGTGAAATATTCTTCTCAGTTGATTGTATTGAAACGTTCATCATATTGTTGAATTGATAATATTCCTTGGACCTTTCTCATGAGAGATGATTTAACATATAACTACTCCGGTTCATTTAAATCTGTAAATGAATACGACAACTTGTATAAGTCGGCAGTCCTTGTTAAAAAGTATATTTATTGAAAGAGATAGGTAATCATAATTCAGATATTTAAACATCCCTTTTGATTTTCATTATTTCAGATGAATTATTAGGAGTCCAAAGGAATTATTCGACAAACGTTAATGGTGCAGGTGAGTAAACATTGATCGGTCGTTCGATCACACGCTTGAAACTCTTACACTTACATCTTCACTACCTGTGATTACTGATAATTTGCCTGTTCTGTTTGAACAAATTCAACCTTCCAAAATACTAACAAAAGAAAGAAGGTGCTTCTATTATGGCAAACGATGGTAGAATTAAATGTGAAATTCACTCACTAATTGAGTACATCCATTGAAACATTTGGAACAGTTGAAATGAACTGTGAATGACTGGATTTGACAGGCAATAAATAAGTCATCATTGATAATTAAAGTCACAGTCTCATTCTGCTTGTTGGAAAACGAATGCAAAGATTTATTATCATTTCGGGTTTAAGTGGAACTTTTAAGTGGAACTGAGTGCAGCATCCTGTCAGATATTCAAAATCTCATTTCATTTCAATAGACGGTGATATTCATCTCACAAGTTATCGCCACATATCATGATGGAGAGATAGTCCATAACACTTGACCGAAAATGACAAGAATATCTATACACATTGGATGGAACATTCATGGAAAGTAAACTGAGAATATCAGTATGCCTAGTGTGAGTGCGATTAGTTGGCTTTTAATGAGATGATCTAAATGATGATACATTTCTCCCGTAATTATTCGATTTCATATAAATGATTGTGTGGTAGCAGATCTTGTCTCAGACATTCAACAATCTTTTTTCAGATTCCTACGGATATTGAGGAAAGTCAGTGGCAATTGGGAATCGTTGGAGCATTACGTTGTGAAGGAGGTAAGAAATATTTCAGCGAATTATTACTATTATTATTATTAGCTTTATCCAATATTATATTTTTGGTAGAACATAGAATTCTCAGCACAATGTACTTCAGCAAGTTTCCGTTTCTTACTTCTTCGTCCTTCCTGACGATAAATATTTAGTGATCGCCACTTAGAAGTTTACAGCCCAGTCAATCGACATCTGGATAATGTACATTCTTCTCGCTGCATATTGCCTTCTGCAACCGTTACAGCTAAAACACTTACTCTTTTCAGAAATGCACCTGAATAGGTTGTGCGATTACTAGGCATAATGATGTATTAAAACAAACAAATTTAGATAACTTTTCGAAATATCTAGATGACAGGAACAGGTAGCCCAGATGTTTAAGCAGGCCGAATCTCGTTAACTCTTTGATGTACGGTGACGTACGTCCTCAATCACCAGTTAGTTTTATAATACTCCAGGTCATGAGCATGTTAATGAACCAAATCCATGTATCTTATTAGAGAGAGCTTTCTAACAGTAAATATTACTCAGTTGCTTCTTGCATAAAGGCAGTTCGCGGAAATGTCATTTAAGTGTTGTGGCTCATTGTGCAGAATGAAATTGGAATTATTTCTGTAAACACACTGTACAAATATTTTAAGAACTTCTTACAGTTATGATTACCGGTAGACTCACCCAGATATGGATATATGAATAACTATATCAAACTCAAAATATATCCACTCATGCATTCACACACTCACAGTAATACAATCAAACTTGCAGTCTTTGGTCATCTCAACACTCAATGTATAAGGAAGTGTGTTTAGTATGAAGCAGAAATAAAGCAGTGCTAGTTTGGAAATGATATTTCATCTACGAAATGTTCAATCGTCTTGCTTCACTGAAATAAACATGTGTTGTTGAGAAATGAAGATGAGTTTGAAGAGGAGTTTGGAGTATACGTGATTAGGTGAGATACAGTGTTTATGATTGAATGTGAGAAGGTTTATCAAATGTTCCGCCAGATGCTCTGCATTGACAGGTTCAAGTGCATTATTGAGTCATTTAGACAATGAAGATAATTGTCATTTTACATTCTTTGGTTCAGTCCTCACATGAGTGATTTGTACTGCAACTGATCAGTCCCTTATTCATATATATGCACTCTGTTAGGATTATCTGGATGTTGCTTGAAGTCACAAGCATTGTGCGTAAAGATGGATGAGGAATAGCAGTGGAATCAAGTACGGTTTCTAAACATCAATTGGAAGATTCAATAACAATTCAAAAATGATTTAAAGCTTCATACAGTTTCACAAGTCATTGAGTATATGGACTGACTGGATAAGTGGATAACCGAATGTGAATGGAAATGAATTGTGCTGGTTTTCAGTCCCTGATTAGTCATAAATAAGATGAAACGCGCGTCTGAGACTGACATACAAATCACCATTGTTCCTTGATTTGTAGATTTGAATGATGCCTCCGTGTAATATGCATTGTGAAATAATATGTAGGGGGATGAACGCATCTATCCCAGACGTCCAGCTGATTTCATCGTTAAATAACTCAGAAACGTAACTATTTCACTTATAATTTAACGGGCCGGTTTCAAAAATCAGAGACATGTAAACCATAGTTTTTTTTAAGACAGTCATCACTCTGTAAGTAATGAAAAATACTACTGATCCTTGATTTGCACTCTACTTAAGTGAAGCAAATAAATTTGTTTCGCTTCAAAAAGAAGTCGAAATTCTAAATCTCTTTTTCCTTTCACTTATTCGCAGGACGTGACGAATATCATAGGTTACCTATTCCAGTAAAATGGATCAAAAGTGGTACGTTGGTGGAGTTTGAAGCCATCGGAGGTACATGAAATTTGATTTAATCAGCACTTACTATTTTTGCACTTAAATACATCATTATTGTTCGCTCAAAATTGAAAATCTCATGTATCATTTATTAAATGATATCCAGGCATGTGTCTTGGATGACGTTTAACTTACTATTTATAACTACCCGTTGATTCGTTGTTGAATACTAAGCATAAATAATGACCGGATTTCAATGACATTAAAGTTTTCACATTGATGAAGTTAACTTGAACATAAAGTTATAAAATGGATGATGGAATGCTTTCGGTTTCGAAAAATATTAGGTGTCAGTAAGCGATTGTGCATTGACAAGGAAATGTTCGTTATTATCTTGATATATATATGATGTAGAAATTTTCTGAGGCATTGAAGTTGTCATTGATGATTGAAAGAACGGTGTCAATTTTCCTTTGTTGTTTAATTGAATCAACATAGTTCAATTTAAATTTTGTGTCTATGAACAACCGAGTTTGTGGCACTTATCTCATTCACAAAAACGATTTCATGGAAAGAAAGTGCATAACCATCAAAGTCAATTGCAATATGCTTTGCTGAACTCAGTGACAACGTAGTGTGCACATGTCTGAATCCGAACAGTTATGAAAAGTCAACAATTTCTCCTTGTCAAAAAGTCGTCACTTGTTCTTTGCACTCAAAGTAATTTCATTCAATTCAAAAATGCAGACTTGAAATAGAAGAGAAATTAAAGGTGTACTCAGTTTTGCATGATGCACCATGTTGACCATTTTCCACTGAATGGATAAATCAGTTAACTCAGAAATCACCATCACGTCATTGAGTAATATTTACAGGTTTCTTATTTCTCTGTTCTTCTATTCATTAACTTCAAATGAATTCACCTTATTCTTTTCATAGAAATTTGTTCGCAATACAATACAAGTGAAACATGCCAAAATGCAACGACATCGACTATGACATGTTTTTGGTGTGACAAAGGGAAGAAATGTATAGAAAGTAACAATCAGAACACTCATGGCTTGAAAGTCAATGACTGCCGTGTTGAGGTTGGTAATTAGTAAACTTCATATGTTGTTTGCAATAACCTCAAATTTCACATTCTGAGCAAATGTTTTAACTGAAAAAAATACTTTTATTGCTATCAATAAGAAATCGCATGTTAGCCATCCTCAGTGACTAAATAAAAGCTTTGTATAGGTTGACGACATATGAGTTCATGCTTCCGTTTCGTGAAAAAAAAGTAAACAATGAATCGAAGCATCGCTCACCATCATCGTTTCAAAGCGAATTATGTTTTCAGCTCAGTGAATAAACCGTAATTTCGAAAGTCCTAAATGTAATCGTAGATGTGTGTAAATGATAAAAATATACCAATGAAACCAGGTAAAGCGAAAAAGCGTTAACAGATAAAAATTGTGTATCACATTAGGAGAATTAGTGAAAGTATGTAGACTACCATTGTTGAATCCCGGAACAATGATTTATGATACTCTGTAGAAAAATAAGTAACCTCAATAGATTGCTTCAATGAAGCCTTACCTTATAAGCCTTTTGCTTTATATTCGGATTGTGATTAGATGTGACATCCAGAACACATATTTCATCACACAAAGGGGTCGTCAACTAGGTGTAGGATCGTGTTTACTGAGCACACAGATTGTCAAATCGCTAAAACATATCCTGAATGATTTGACGAATTCGAATTCAGTAACTATGTATGAGAATCTCTTGTGTCATCATTACTGAGAATGATTTGTAATGAATGATGAATTAAAAGAACGATATTTGATGTTTAGTAATCAATGCTTCTGATTGAATCATTTAGAAGACCTCGGATGTCAACGATTTGAATAGTTCAACAAATACGGAACACATTGAAAGAACATTGGGGATCACTGAGGTTCAGGTTAGTGAAAACCTCATGAAAACTACTGGAGAAACAGATAAACACTTGGTAAATATTTGATATTTGTTAAAAACTGATAATTCTTTGTTTTTTCTTTAGAATAGAACTACCAGGACAACGGATGAAAATAAGCAACACAAGTCACATTGGTACTTGTACGTTGTAATTCCTTTGGTCGCCTCTCTGTTTCTTATATGCATCGGTTGTATAGTTTGGAGATGGTTATTTAGAAGAAAGAGAAGTAATGAATGATCCATGAAAAATTGCTTTGGAAACTCTGAACAACTTGTCTCAATTTTGCTTTTCATTAGAATGTTTTAGAATTTCATTTGTCTTCTTACTAATTTGGACAGTTATTTCATGATACTTTGTACATGCTTTTGATTGTTAACATGATAGCTGATGTTATCCTTTTTATAAAATATTAAACACTGTTTTCAATATTCGCGTTATCGCTTTCATATAAATCAAGGTGCATATTATCACATGAGTTCTACAAGTTCAACTCGTAACTACGTGGCATTACGCATAAGTGATTTCGTGATCATTGCAGTTAACTATGAGTCCGGTGTGAGTGTTCATTTTGATGGAGTGATCTGTTGAAAAACTTTATCAATACCTAGATAAACACTTCCATATTTGGTTACCTGATTAATACGTATTAGGTAAATGGTGAGCCACAATCAATCCTAGCTAAGTGCTCAAGAAAGGACCTCACCATCCTGATAGATCTAAATGACAAAGTCGGAATTGACGACATGGATTAGGAGAGAGAAATGAAGAAGTAAAGTGATTTGCAAATCTATGTGCATTCAACAAACGGGTTATAGACCATAGCAACTGATAGACTGACTAGTCTCAATTCAAGCTTAGTCCATGATTTAACGTAAATTCGCTCTCCTATCACAGTTACTTTATGGACTACACGTTGAATAACTCAGATTTGGTCATACTATGACCTGTGTGTCTACAAAATATTAGGCTGCTTTACGTCATTATTCCATTCAAGCGGAAGCTTATAAGAATATTTAAAGAAAGTAGAATGTTCTGTTCATTATGACTTTCAAATGAATGTCATTAAACTGATAGATACCTTTATTAACACAATAGGAGAACACATAGAAAAGACGTCCGTTTAGTCTCCAGATGAAATGTTCTATTTTGTATAAATGATACTACTTCAACTGACAATCACAAATCTAATTTTGAATGCTTCATTGTATGATGCTGTGGAAAGGCATCATATAACCAGTCACATTCTGTTCACACTGATAAGCAGTGGTCAATGATCAACTGAATCGAATGAGATCCATAGAAATGTAATAATCGGTTGAGAATTTACTCTCTCTCTCTCACATCTATTCCAGTGATTGGTTATTATTTGTTCGTGATAATTCACAAAATATTTCATTGTTTAACAAGAACATATTCAAATCTACATGCTGATTGACAATACATTATTACTTAGCCTAAAAAAATGATCATTATACAAGCAATCAGTTCATGAATAGATATACCTGTTCACGTCCGTGACAATTTGCGAGTAAGAAGACTGATTACCGTTTAAAAAGAAAGAAAACCGATAGAATATCAATCATGATGTGCCCTAATAGTGAGTAACATTGTGTGCCGCAGTTATTCTCAGAGTTCTAATGAAAAGCAGTTATCAAATCAGTGTTCAACCATATCCGATATATGACAAATATCATCAATCGTAGTGAATGATATCACAGATTTAGGACTATAAGCTATTCTATTCATTCAAATTCAATAGTTTAGATGTTAAAATCCCGATTTTAGCGCTGAAACGTTCAGGTTCAATCTATAGTTGGATTGTAAAAGCGTATTGCTACGCAATTGTTTCATAGAACAAAACAACTACCCAGTATTTTGCTGTTTCATGATGGTAAATAGTAAGCGTCAACAATTTACACAATACACCATGATCACTTAAAATGTCTTTCTATAACTACATGAGGAAGAACTCGGTCCACCTCTAATTTCACTAAATATTCATCAATACTTTACCAACAAGTTTCGATAAACATAAGCCATAACGCCTACTAACTATTTTAGCTAATTTAGACATCATATTCACAAACAGGTGTGGTAATGAGTAGCCTATATCTCGAACAATAGACTTCAGTTAGTTGATTGAATGAATCAAAACAAAATTGACCTCTCTATTTTATTTTCTCAACATCGGATATTGATATTCATTACCATTTATTAACTCATAGAAACAATAAACTTTCTTCGTCACTGTGAATGACTTATTGACCGTAAATCATAATGAAGACATTGAAAAGCTCGACTGTCGTCACTCTCCATGAGATTATCATTAACCCGTTTCCTTGATTTGAATGACAAGCCCAAATTCATTGCGTCTTGTTTTGTAAACCTCTTCTCGCGCTTTTTGTGTACAAAAACACCACACTACTATTCACTACATAGTAGTTTGAAGTATTTTTCAAGATTCGTTTTGTATAACGATCGATGCGGTGTTCTAACAAACCATCTATCTTATTTAGTTATACACATCGTCTTAGGTTTTATTTCTTGGTATCAATTTACAGCACTCCTTATTCTTGTGTTATTTATGTGGTCACTTTTTACATGCTTCATCTGTGATAAGACCCTAAATTCATATCCCATAGTCGTTGATCTTCTCTGATTGACACAGATGTCCCATTTTTTATGATTTATAATACACATCCTTGTTTAGATAAGTAAGACGTAAGGCACACATCTGTACAAACGACATATGGATTCCCGACAAAGATCACTGCTACTTCCAGCGCATCTCCTTTCACTGAGTTTCAGAAATATCAGGAATCAATACTGATACTGGAGAAGAGAAATTTTCGAATAGTTCATTTGAGGATTGTACAGATGAATCTTCCAGACAGTTAAAAAAACACTTTGAAAAACATTGATCAATGTAATTTTGTACAACAATTAAAATTGATTCAATCCCCTTGCTGAAAAATCGGGTTGTTGCGAAACAGACATCGAGAAATAAAAGTCACTTTGTGTTTATTGGAGCGATCTTGAAAATTTCCCGCAATAAACATGATTAGCTCAGGAAATATTAAGAAACATTTTATACAATCACAGTTTGATGCGACGTTCTGCTAGAAATATTGCGAACATGAAAACTCACATGTAGAGCTTCTGAATGACTGAATACTACACCGCTACTATGTTCAGTAGTATTCTGGAATATCCAGGAGAAAGCAGATACTCTTAAAATACTATCAACATCGAAAGACATCAGTGAATAAGTCAGTCAGTCAGAAGACCTTATGGAAACCATCTCCACCTCACACTCTCAATCAATCAATTGACAGCTCACTAATTTACTCACTCACTCACTCATTCTCCCAAAACATCAATCAATCAATCCATCCATCCTGCCATCCGTCCATCACACAATCACTCACAACTCATCACCATGTGAATCGATCTACTACTGTCTGCCTCGTCAAACTAGTCAATGTAACAACTTGAGACAAAAAGCAATGATGATGATGTTCACGATGTTGACGATGATGATGATGACGATTCGGATGATGATCATGATGATGATGTTATGGCTGATGATGATGATGATGATGACGATGATGTCGATTCGGGTGACGACGATCATTATGTTGATGATGATTTGGATGATGATGCGGAGAGTTGGTGTGGAGTGGAGTGTTCTGGCGGGGCGGCGTTGGCTGTAGCGGGTGCTGTCGACAGAGAGGAGCAGTGGGACGTGCGGCTGCTGGGCGGACATCGGATGTAGATGGCTCAGGAGGCCGGTGGAGTACGGATGTTCAACGTCTCAGGTGCCGGGTGCATGCGGATGTTGGTGCCACGGCAGGTCGACGGAGCTATGGAGGTCAGCGCGCCGCAGACTCGACTTTCTGACGGAGAGTTTGGCACAGACTGCAGTGGAAGAAGATAGTGGCACGGCGAGCAGAACCACCGCATGAACGAATGCTTTAAAGGGGGACGAGTGTGGTGTGGTCTACTTATATCCATATAAGTAGTATATGGTGTGAGTCAGACATAGAATGTATTTTGGCAGAAAACAGATAAGAAAAGAACTGAAATGAAGCGCAATCGTTTGGAAAATGCATGAGCAATGGAATTAAAGAACAAACAGTGAACATGGAGACTATTGGTTGTTAATTTGCAAATTAACTGTCCATTGTATGGTTATTACAATTTACTGAGATAGTTTGTAATGTTTGCTTAAATACATTCCATTATCCAACAGTCGTGTTCTGTTCACAACAGTAGTAGTAGTAGTAGTAGTAGTAGTAGTAGTAGTGTGGTGTGAGCTACTTATATTGACATCAGTAGTATATATGGTGAGCAAGGAATAGAATATCCATTTACAATCAACATAGATACTATCTCAGTGCATATTGGTCAAGAGTTTTTAAGAGTGATCACAGAGTAATATTGTGTATCATTCATTCTTTCGACGCCATACAATTGAATTCTTAAGCTGGAATTATGTACAAGAGTAGACATTTTGATGAACAAACCTGGAAACGGACTGAAAGTCTTATTCGTTGTTTACCATGGGAAACTTATTTTACCACAAATAATATTGACATTGCGATCTCTGATGTATACCACAACTTGATACACTGCCTCGACTGCACTGCTCCAATTACTAGCCATGTGGCTTACAACGCCAATAGGGGCCAGAATAATTTTACAACTTTTAAAAGAAAACTGAGGAAATTAAAACACCGTTACCACAAGCATAATGACTTGTATACACTACAGAGTATACTTAAGTTAATTGACAAGAGTGCTTCATCTAAACGCAAGTATTTTATGGATAAAGAAAATAAAGCCCTAGATAATAAGAACCCAGAATTATCAATACTTCGGCTTTTTAAATCGCGTGTGAAGTCAAATTCTCTTGGTGTGACCAAATTCTTCATAGTTAACGGAGGAATAATTGATGACCCCGATATTATTTGCGAACAATTCAGTCAGCATTTCTCGCACTAGAACACTAGAACTGAAAGCTGTATCATTACATTTCCAATGCTGACGTACAGACACCTGTCGAAAATTGATTTCGTACCCTTCAACATCAAGCAGGCCATAACTGCTTGAAATGTCCTATGACGGTGGAGCTGACAGGATTCCCTCATCATTTGTTAAATATGGTAGAAGAAAATTCCCATCATTTTGTTTAAAACTTTTCAACCTATCTATGGGATATGAGGCCTATCCATCTG